GTATTATACACTCACAACAAAATAACTAAAATAGGTTTTTGATTATGTAATTTCGTCCCAAATTTGAACTTAAAATGTCTGTAAAAAATAACTGTGCTCATATATTTTTTAGATTTTTTGGCTACAGTATGAACTATTTATGAGAATCTTTTTTTTTAAAATTCAAACCTTAGCTATAAAAACTGAACATTTTATAATTTATTAATTACGATGATTGATAATTTTCGAGATTTTGATAAATTTTGTCAAAATGCGATGTTTAAATGCTTATAAAAAAAAATTGTGCCTATGTATTTTTAATATTTTTCAATTAATATTGTAACAATATATCAGGAGCCTTGTATGAATTTTTCACACTTTTTGGCCCAACAGATAAAACTTTATTAATATTTATAGAAAAAAATTGAAAACTGAAAATGTCCGTAAACGGCTCAAAATGAGTCAAAATATTTTCAAAATTGTATGGTGTATAGGAAATGCTATTATAAACATTCAGTGAAATTTTCATGTATCTACAGTAATTCGTTTTTGAATTACAACAAAATAAGGAAATCGCCACATGAGAAATCGAGTGAATATCCAATGTTGTAAAAATTTGAATTTCAAACACTCATAAAAATTTAATTTGACTTTCTTATAGAATTTTTTTTTTGATAAATGTAGGAAATCTCATAAGGAATATTGTATTACATTTTCATATCTTAGATTTAAAAAGGAAAATTTTTATGAATTTCTAACTCGAAATAATTTGCAAATTTTCGTGATTTTTCCATATTTTGTCATTTTTTGAAATTTAAATGCTTAAAAAAAAAACTGTGACTAACGATTTTTAATATTTTTCATCTGTCTTTGAAACAATATAGTAGGAGCCTTGTATTAAATTTTCAAGTATTTTTACTCAACAAATAAATTTTTATTGATATTCATAAAAAAAAAACTAATAAAATTGGAAACTGAAAATGTCCCTAAACAGTTCAATATAAATCAAAATATTTTGAAAATGTTATCATGTATAGTAAATGCAAATATAAACAACCACTGAAAATTTCATGTATCTACGGTCATTTGTTTTAAAGTTACACCAAAAACCAAAATCGATTTTTTGGAAAACCGATTTTGCGTAAAAATTCCCGTTTTTCCTTAATTTTTCTTTTGTTTTTCCCGGCGCTTTTGAAAACTACTGGGAAATTTAAATTTTGACCTCCCCAATGCACCAACGATATTCACTTTCCAATCGAACAAGATAATGAAGTTGAAAATCGAAGCATTATTTCGACTACCTATCGTGTACACAGACACAAAAAAAATAAAAAAATAAAAATAAAAAAATAAAAAATATAAAAACACACATCATTGTAAAATCAATACATTCATCGTTTCACTCAGAATCTAAAATATCAACCGGAAAGTTAAATTTATAAGTGCGTTTGAAGTTGGTTCATATTTTTACAAAATTGGATATTTACTCGATTTCTCATGTAGCGATTTTAGATTCTGAGTGAAACGATGAATGTATTGATTTTACAATGATGTGTGTTTTTATTTTTTTTTTATTTTTGTCTGTGTACACGATAAGTAGTCGAAATAATGCTTCGATTTTCGACTTCAGTATCTTGTTCGATTGGAAAGTGAATATCGTTGGTGCATTGGGGAGGTCAAAATTTAAAATTCCCAGTACTTTTCAAAAGCGCCAAGAAAAACAAAAGAAAAATTAAGGAAAAACGGGAATTTTTACGCAAAATCGATTTTTCAGAAAATTGAATTTGGTTTTTGGTGTAACTTTAAAACAAATGACCGTAGATACATGAAATTTTCACTGGTTGTTTATATTTGCATTTTCTATACACGATAACATTTTCAAAATATTTTGATTTATTTTGAACAGTTTAGGGACATTTTCATTTTCATTTTTTTTTAGTTTTTTTTCTAGAAATATCAATAAAATTTTATTTGTTGGTTGCGAAAACTTGAAAATTTAATAGAAGGCTCCTAATATATTGTTTCAAAGGCAGATGAAAAATATTATAATATGGAAAAATCACGAAAATTAGCAAATTATTTTGAGTTAAGAATTCGTAAAAATTTTTCTTTTTAAATCTAAGATTTGAAAATGTAATACAAGATTACTCATAAGTTTGTCTACCTTTATCAATAAAAAAATCTCTACCGGACAGTCAAATTAAATTTTTATGAGCGTTTGAAATTCAAATTTTTACATCATTGGATGTTCACTCGATTTCTCATGTAGCGATTTCCTTATTTTGTTGTTATTCATAAACGAATAACTATAGATACATGAAAATTTCACTGAATGTTTATATTAGCATTTCCTATACACCATACAATTTTGAAAATATTTTGACTCTTTTTGAGCTGTTAAGGACATTTGCAGCTTTCAATTTTTTTTAGTTTTTTTTTCTATAAATATCAATAAAGTTTTATCTGTTGTGCCAAAAAGTGTAAAAATTTAATACAAGGCTCCTGATATATTGTTACAATAGCAGTTGAAAAATATTAAAAATACATAGGCACAGTTTTTTTTATAAGCATTTAAAGATCAAATTTTGACAAAATTGATCAAAATCTCGAAAATTATCAATCATTGTAATTAATAAATTATAAAATGTTCAGTTTTTATAGCTAAGGATTACAAATTCAACACAAAGGTTCTCATAAAAAGTTCATACTATAACCAAAAAATCTAAAAAATATATGAACACACTTATATTTTACAGACATTTTAAATTCAAATTTGGACGAAATTACATATTAAAAAACCTAGATATTTTGTTGTGATTATATAATTTTATTCGTGGGTACCTACTTGAAACTTCTAAAGTGTACTATTATATATCTATGATAGTATCAGGGTTTGTTATTGATGTTGATGTATAACATGTTATAAGTACCTAATGGATATTGTGATAATGTGATATGATTAATTTGGAATTAATTATAAGTCAATTTTTTTTTTAATTCCATAGATATGTATATAATTTGTCTTAAACCTAGACTGACATACCGTCTTCGCTCAGAATCGTTTTTCTTATACAATGATATTGTATCATTGAATTCAAATTTAAAAGCATCCATTATACAGTGACCCACTTGTAACCTACTGTACAGCAGAGCGACATCCACTTACCCACCTTTTCTTAATTTGTTATTATTTAAAAACGAAAAACTGTAGATAGGTACATGAGAATTTCAATAAATGCTTTTCCCTTTTTCTATACACCATACCATTTTGACTTGTTTTGAGCTGTTTAGGGACTATTTCAAATATTAATTTTTTTAATTTTTTTTTTTTATTTTTTTTAAATTTTATCTGTTGGGGAAAAAAGCGCAAAAATTGAATACAAGGCTCCTGATATAATTTTTCAATAGCAGTTTAAAAAAATTAAAAATACATATGGACGATTCATTTTAATAAGCATTTAAAGTTCTAATTTTGACAAAATGTATCAAATTTAAAATTTAATAATTATTTTGTAATTAAAAATTTATAAAATGTTAAACTTTTAAAGCTAAAGATTGAAAATCTAAAACAAGGTTCCACGTAAATAGGTTAGATATAAATTACTTTATTGCCAATGATATCATCAAATATAGGTAGATACTTAGTAATATCATAGACTGACTGACCGTCCTCGCTTATGATCGTTTGTCTTATACAATGATATTATATCATTGAATTCAAAATTAACACCATCCATAACAGTGACCTACTTGTATAGCAAGTATCTACCTACTGTATAGCAGAGAACATTGGCGGAAATTGGTATGGGCGTTTTGAACGTGGAATGTTGATACGGTTGTTAAAATTCAGGGTTTCATAAAAAAAAACAATCATCAAGTTCTACACGTTAGATAAGTACTGCATGAAATTTTAACGAATTGGAAAAAAATCAACTAAAATGATTAAATATTACCTTTTAACAATCATCGCTCATTTACATTTAAAAATATTTGAAACATTTTACTCACGCAATTTATTGTTCGTTCATTTGAGCAACATGTAAATAGATAATTATTAGGTATCAATAAAAAACACATTATGCGTTTATAGTAAAAAGTTTTAACATTATTTCCTTTTCTGAAATGAAAAAAGTGTAGCTGGTTTCAAGGAAAAAAAAGGTTTCAAGGAAAAAAAAAAATAATAATACATTTATTTAAGTATTCAATCATTTAAGTAGAAAATCCTGATTTATACATAATTACATCAGTAAATAATTTATTATTTAATATCAATAGACACTACCCACATCATTCTTACACTGCTGAAATCTATAAAAAGTTGTCTGTTTTAATTTCAACGGGTAGATATGGTTTTAATAATTTTTAATAATTATATCAAATAATATTATCATATAGTTTTACATAATATAACATTAAATTAATTTAATTGATACAATGATGTTATAGTATTACTAATACAAGTTTATAGTAACCTTAATCAGGCACGTTCACAAGCAAAAATTACGTTCTTGCTCTTATTTATGTGGCCAAAAAAAGTTTATGATCACGTTTCTGTAATGTTTTGAAATTATTTGACAATATTTTGGAAACGTTTACTATAATATTACTATTCATTTACTAATTAATTTCTAGTACATAAATGGTAGTATAAATGTTCAATGAAAATTTTAAATCTCTACAGTTACTAATTTTCGAGTTAAAATCAAAAAAATTGTTATATTTTTATCGGCCCAGTTCGACCTCTGAGTTCACGTGATATTGTGTTTGCAAGGACGCGTGCTTGGAGATCGTGTCCCGACCGCAAAGGCTTACGGGCTATTGCAAACACTCGAACGGTTTTCTCCGGTGTGTGTGTCCGCTAGTATCTGATCGGGTCGTCGGACCGTGAAAGCGATATTCCACACTCGCGGCACGTGTACCGCGACTTGACGTGCATGACGTGCCGCATGAGATACTCTTTGCGACCAGTTGCACGCCTCACACGGGTATACGCCTTGGCCGAGCAGACGGGCGGCACTTACAGGTTGTACCGGACGGCTTGCCGACGTCCATAAGCCGACACGTCGAGTGGCGATTCTTGGGGTGGTTGTTCCAACGTGTACAATATGGAACCACCCATCAGCAATGTCAGCGACATGGGCTTGACAGGTTGCTGTTACTGATGCTGCTGCGAGGGCAGTAGAATCGGAGGCTACAGTTGGCGCCGGGGTGGTAAGATGCCTTCGTCGCTTCAGAACATACAGTCACTCTTCGGGTACATAGTGATGCAGCGGGGGCGGTGGCAGTGGGCGATTCTGTTGTTGAGGCGGTTGCTCGGTAATCAGTTGGTACAGCACTGTTGCGACCTGTTGCATGACGAAGACCCGGTTGAGCTGAACTGAGTATCCTCGAAGTCTTTGCACAACGACGACCTCACGACTTAAATTGTTATTCTTTATGTAAATGTTTAATTTTGTGAAGAATTTGCTTATAAAAAAAATGAATGTACACTAAGAAGTCACAAAGTGATTTCTGAGCGATTAGAATTTGTAACAACAAAAATCAATAAATATTTGACTACCGTAGGAGTTATTGTATGCTAAGGCGTATCGATTTCTTACAGGCACGTAGTTCGAGTTTTATATACCATTATTTGGGAAAAAATATAAAAAATAATAAAACCTAATCAATCAGTATTAGTATTTAATTCATGGTTGTTGTGTTTAAAAGTTTAAAACATAATGTTTTAAACAACTTGTTTTAAACGATCTGTTCATTGTTTAAAACGAATAAAACATAATATTATATTATGTTTAAAACAATGTAAAATCCAAGTGAATATTGTGTTTTTTTTTGTTTATTATTAATAATAATAATAAATAATAATAGATATCCTTCAGAAAAAAAGTTAAAGTAACTACTAAATAATTATATCCAATACCTGCCATCATTATTTTAATTTCTTTTTTCTATTTTATTGTATAAATTACCAAATTAAAGGGTTTTATTTATTTTAAGTGTCACGCGTATGGAGGTTATAATATTATGAATATAAGATGTAATCAAAAGTTTATGTTATGTAAGGACCACGGTATAGATTCCAGTGTCTGGTTATGAGGGGGATACGCGGGTGATATGTGCGCCAAGCACTTTTGGGGATATCCACTTTACCGTCTGCTGAACGGAAAAATAACGCTTTCCAAAGCTTCAACCACTATCGAAATCAAACTTTCGGTGCAGGCGTGACAACAAATACTTTTAAAATTCAAAATAAGTAATAACTAAACAGTGAAACATATACTAGTATACGGCATATAGACATAGGTATAATTACATTATAATAATTAAATAAAAATGTATTATAAATAAAATAATTAAATTATTATATTAGTTAATTATTATTTTTATGAATTAAATTATATATTAAATTAAAATTAAGTTATTTTAAAACTCAAACAAATTATTTAGTTTAAAACACCGTTTAAAAAAAAATCCAATAACTCTGGTACTTTTCATTTGTGAACAATAACATTTTTAATTAATATTGAAATATTGAGCTTCTTTATTTTTTAGTTTCAGAATAAACTAAATGTGAGAAATCTCGTTTTAAATTTTCAATCTTTAGCTATGAAAAATTAACACAGGAAAAAACATTTTATTGACATTTATAGAAAAAAAAAACCAACATAAATTTAAAATTGCAAATGTTTATAAATAGCCCAAATTACAAGTCATAATTTTGAAAATGAAAATGATACAGTGAAACTAAAATATTACTTATCACAAATTTTGCTACTGTCCTCTCAAGAATACGATAAATCAATGCGAAAAGAAAATTGTGAAAAATTCGACCTACAAAATATTAGTGTGCAGAGTTGAATAGACATGTTTATAATATTATTATGTTCATAATATATTATATAAGTACGTATTTTATTATACAATATTTTCTGTTTGTACTTGACCTCAGAAAAATGTTTTTCTATACAATATAGATATATATTATTAATTTTAAAATATGTGTTGAGATAAAATCTATGAATTGAATGACAGCATTTGAAAATAATAATATGTTTTTTTAAATATTATCAGTATCTGAATGCTGTCCACTTGACAGTGCCGAAAAAATTCAAAAACCGTCTAAATTGGCTCTAATTTATTATTAAATTTGTGAAACCCGTTTCGCTCAGAACCACTCGAGCAAAAATACGACAATATTTTATGTTCCGTGGCGATTTTATTATTTTTATTTTATTGTTACACAAATTTATTTGAGTTTGTAAAACATAACAATATAATGTTTTTTGTATTTAACGACAATAATACAAACATTTATTTCCTTCTTTAATGCAGTGCGTAATTACGCGGTAGCCAGCAATAGTAAGTCAAAGACCATGTGAGTAATGTGAGTTACTTTAAATTCGTTAGCTTTAAATTGGACGGTTTTTGTGAAAAGGGGATCAAGTCAAAAACAGTAAATGTTCAGTAGACAATAAAAACGTTTTATATTCTCAATTTCTTAAAAAAAAATTGTATGATATTTTATTTTATTTTTAACTTTGATTTGTTACATGTTTATATAAGACAAAATACCTAAATATAATTGTTAAGTCATTTTGGTTGACTTGACACTAACAGCACATAATTTGTTAAATTATATGACTTGATACTCTTATGTGCAAAAAGTATCAAGTCGTTAATATTGAAAAACGTTTGTGCTATTGGTATCAAGTCAACAAAAATCAATTTAAAAATTATGTATATTATTAAAATATTATGTATTATTATTATATTATTAATTTATAATACAGTAAGTAGTTTTAATTATTATATAAATTGACTAAAAAAAATGTATGATTACAACTTAAAACTTTTATTTTTTTGAAAAATAATTAAAACAAAATAAAATAATTATGTAGTAAAACATAACATATTTTAAACAATATTATAAAATGTGTTCAAAAATACCTCAAAGTTAATACTATTGCACAGACACTTCTTAATCATAATTTACTTAATTAATATAATATATAGGAACTTAATTCACCAATAACATAATATGTTTAAACAGTATAGATAAATATTTAAAAATAAATAGTAACTTTAAACATGAAAAATAAAAACAAATCTTAGTTTATTATTAATACTCTTCATCAGATATTATAGGGTCGACCGTATTTTTGTTTGATTTTAAGTTTTTATAGAAATTATGAAATGTTTCTGGTATAAACTTTAATAAAGACATAAGATCCTTTTTTTTTTCTTCAGTTATAAATAAATCATCATCATATGCTTTTGGAATGTTCATTGAAACTGGATTTCTTTTGTTTAGATTCAATTTATGGAATTTGGCATTTAAATCGACTGATGTCTTGTAGTGTACTATTCCTTTTTCATTTTTAGTATAGCGAATCCACTTTACATCACGAAACACAAACTTTTCCTTATTTATGTTAGTTTTTTTCATTTGATAGCTTGTTTTGAACAAACTGTTGAAGTCATAAAACATATCTTGTGCCATTTCTACAACCAAAAATTTGTTTTTTCCTGCATATTTAATTAATTGTATCCAATCATACGGGTGGTTTATTGAAGAAGGAAATGTTTTCCGAGCTTTTTCGATTTTTGCATGATCTGAGTCACACTCCATTCTGGAGTGGCCTGATACCATAAACTTGTGATCAATTATTTGAACAGTTTCCTGTTGATCCAAGAAAAACAGACACATTGCCATTAGAATACTGTTTTTATTTTGCCCAGGGCAGCAATCACTGTACATAGTTACATGTGTTATATTTTTTGGTAAATTAGTTAAATAATTGTACACACATGAACCAATGTCATTAGCCCCTCGTTTGGCTAAAGTTTCGTACCAAATATAACATGTTGCTGTATTAGATGCACAATTGTGCACAGTTAAATTGTAGGTCCACAATTGTCGTTTATAAAATGCAACAGAGCTTTCTAATGAGGGTGTTGGAAGACACTGTTGTAAATCAAACGATAAAACACATTGGTTTTTGGACATGGTGGCTATGTCGTTTCTTTTTAATTCATAGGTTTGCTCAGCTTCGTCTTGATGTTTTATCTTATCTTCAATTATTTTAGATTTTTCTTCTGGTGAAATAATGTTATCAGTAAGCTGTATTTTAAACTTGTCACACAGTGCGCAAGTGTCTTTTTTGGGATTCTTGACTTTCAACCCTGCATTTTTAAAATATTTTTCATACAGTGTTCGACTTACTGGCTTTTCTACACTTGTTTTATATTCATCATAAGCTCGTTGTAATGTAAAATGGCTTGGTAAATACTTTTTTGAAGTCTCCTTCCTACAATAATGACTTTCGTAACATGGAAGTTTGTTAATATGATTAATCAACAATTTAATATCATCTTGAGAGCGTTTGTTTCCAGGTGGTGCACGACCTCTTTTATCTGGAGAACATCGCTGTGCTGGTGAACTTAGCATATTAGTACAAATATTTCTCAAAAACTTGGTATTTTCACCAAATATTTTCATAAAACAACCTTTACATACACGTAATAACTCACCATTTTTTGGTACATAATATTGATATGTTTTTTCCCTTGGTTTTTGTTTTTCTGGTGTATCCCTTCTTTTTCTACTACTTATCTTAGGAGAACATGTTATAAGTTTAGAAATATAAGCTGTTCGTCTGTTAAAACTACCCATGGACCAATATAAGTTAAATAATTGATCACGTAAACTATCTTCTATTTTACTATTACACTTGGCTTTACAATCTAGAAGTGCTTTAGATGTTCGAGATTTTACTATTTTCCCTGTATTAGTTATATATTCCATTCCAGTATTTCTTCTTTGATTTCTATAAATTCTAAATTGTCTGGTATCACCTTTCACACTCACCCTGGACTTTCTTTTATTAATTGTATTATATTCTGTATTCAAATTATGTTCTTCATGACTTCCAACTAATGATGGTTCAGCTGTACCCAAAATTATACTTAATTCGCCCTCAATTTCGTCATGATCCTATTTAATATATTATATACAAATTGTTATACTAAATGTAATTATAATATATTATATACAGAGTATGTTTATATATTGTATACCTGTTCCATAGGTATAAGGTTTTCAAAAGATGAAACTGCTGTTTCCAAAATTACACTTAG